CCAGGCCCTACAACCTACCCTTTCCCGGTGCGCCACGGCCCCCCTCAGGCCTCGGGCAAACGAACGTGCTTCGCCACCACACCCCCCCCCCCCCCCCCCCGCCCCAGCACTGCCCCCCTCCCGCTGGGCCGGCTTCCCAGGGGAAGAGGGCCGGAAAATCTCTTGTTTACTGGGCTAGAAAGATCCCAGGCAGGATTTGCTTCCCCATTTCTGTAGTCCCCTTTTAGCAGATTCCAGAGCCGGAGGAGAAAGGGTGGCAACCCGCTGATCCACCCCGGGCCGGAGTGGGGTGGGGCACGGGGAACCCGAACACGTGGAAAGGTTCCGGCGGGGCCACGGGAGGGCCCGGACTCAGAGTCGGGGCCAACCCGGCCTGGAGCGCAGAGAAAGCGCAGGCGGGGGGTGGGGGCGCTCAACACTGCACCTCGGGGAGCCGAATGGGGAAAACTAAGACAATTCAGAACGGGAACCCCGGGCGCAAGCAGGGGAGCGCTTTTCGGGTGGGCCGCGTCTGAAGGGGTCGAGCGAAACGCGAGCGCGGGGTAGTCAGGCCCTGGGCGACGCAGGGGCTCAGGGCTCTGCCCCACGAGGTTAGGGACGTGCGCCAGTGGCGTTCCCACGCAATCTTGGCTACTGAAGTCTCAGGGAAGGGTCGCGCGCGTGGAAGAGGTGGACGCTTGGTGTGTGGTGTGTCCACGTGTGCAAGCTCGGGAGGGGAGAGGGTGAGGAAGGCGCCACAAAGACGGACTTTGTGTCTGAGTGTGCGCCTCGCTCCAGCCCGGAGCGGCCGTGCCCGGCGAGTGTCTCAAGGGACAGCTAGGACGGAGGGGACAAAGGCTGCGTGTCCGCCACCCAGAGAGCCGCGCCAAAGCAGCCCTCGCGCAATCGGCTGAGCGAGACCGCTAGGAGATGCAGGGAGCGAGAGTCTGCCCCGGGGGTGAGCCGAGTTGCACCCTAAACCGCTTTCTAGAGAGAAAGCCCGGTCCCGTAAGTGCGCGGGAGTGTGCGCGCGCCCGCGTGCGGGGGGCGTGGCAGTAAACAGCAACAACCCACAAGCCAGCTTGGCCAGAAACTCCGATCTCCCTTCCCAGCCGGACAGTGCGACTCTCGAGCCTGGAGGTGAGTCGCGCTGCGAGGGCGGGGCGGGCTTTGTTGCTGTGTAAACGGATTGCACATACCTGGAGCTCGGGCGGGCGCCGGATAAGCGCCCTGAATGGAGGTGAGGTCACGGTGATGCAGGCCGGCCCAGCCTCGTCGAGAGAAAGGAGTGGAGCACGGGGAGAGGCTGGCGCCAGAGCGAGCGACCCAGCGCGCCCAGCGCAGCCCGGGTCCCTAGGAGGCCGGGCCTGGGCCACGTACCCCCGCCCGGGCCCCGCAACCTCAACCAGGGCTGGGCCTGGCCTGGTGCCCCTCGCCGAGTCCCTCCCACCCCCGCCCGCGCTCGGCCTGGGGCTGGAGTTGGCCCCAGACGCCGCGCGGGAACCAGGCTGGCGGCGCGTCCCAGGTAAGGGCTGCCGCCTGCCCCTCTGCCCTCCTCGGCCTCCCAGAAGAGCCGGGCCGGGCTGGCAGGGGGTGCGCGAGGGCAAGGGCCCGTCGATGGGACCTGGGGAGCGGGGGACGCCGCTCCAATTCCGCTTGGTCGTAGGAAGTTTTCCAGCCCGAGTCAGCTGGGAATGAGAGGTGGGGGAAGCCTGGCGCTGCGGCTCGGGGTTGAGGGCGGGGAAGGACGCCACAGTCGGTGTGTCCGAGGGTGTGCCCCACCTCCCTGCCTCTCCGCGCGAGTCCACGGCCGTCAGTCACTTCTGTGGGTCGGTGTCCTCTCGGATGCCCTGTCGTGTCTGGGGAGGGCAGTTTCTTCGGTCAGAGGAAATGAGAGCAAGAGTGGCTGGCTCCCCTGTGCTTTTTGTTCACACGTACAGGGGTGGGTGTAGACCAGACTCCAGCAGCCCGGCCTGAGGTGGGGAGGGACGGGCTCCGATCTCCCTACGGGAAGTTTGGAATTTCGGATTGTAACTTCGCCTCTGCTTCTGGCAGCATGGCTTCTGGATCCCATCCCCATCCTCCCTTTTCCAGCGCCTTTTCTGCTTCCATCCTAGAACCGCAGTTTCATCCCCAGGAAGAGCTAATCATTTAAAACTCCATGATCTTGATCGTAAAGCACGGGGACGGACCAGAACGTGTACTAGTAGGGTTTTGTGGCTGGAAACACCCCCTCCCTCCAGTCTTCAGAAGTGGCTGGGGCTGGGAGGGGAGTGCTCCTGGGGGTGGGGCACATTCCAGAGTAGCATTTCAGACCCTTGCATTGAAGTCTTGGAAGTCTTGTAAGCTCACGGCATTTTGGCCCAAAAGTCCACTTCTGGTGTGTGTGGGAAGGGGTGGCCAGCGGGACTGAGATAGGTTCTTCCAGACACCCACATCTGCAGAGCTCTTTCCTATGGCAGGGGTTAAACATCAAAGCCACCTGGACCGAGGGTGAACACAATAGGAGTAACAGGGCCCAGAAAGGAAGGGGATGGATGATAGGGTGGGAGGAGGTCGGAGGCTGGAAGCAGGTCCATCTGTCTTTCGGGGCCAGCTGCTGCGTGAGGCCAGCCAGGGAGAAAGGAGGATACTCTGTGATGTCCCTGACTGACCATCCCCACCAAGAGGGGCTCTAAATGGCCACAGCACCCTTGGAAGCAACCACTGGCTTTAGATCTTTCCTTACATTGTACCCTGGAGCTTGGACACAGACCAGGGCTGCCTCCTCCAGTTCATGCCGTGTTCTTCCCAGGCTGTCTTGCAGATGAGGTGGGGTGATGAAAGGGGTGTTGTGGAAAAGTGTGAAGGCCTAGCTAGCTGTCTTACCTGGTACTGGGTTAAACCAGCCAGGGCTGGCTGGGCCTCAGCCCACCGGCACTGTGGAGGCCTCTGTGTTCCCACTGGAGAGAGAAAACAGGGAGGAAGGGGATTTGGAAACTGGATTGGACTGATACAGACCAGGGCAGGGACTGGGTGGCCGAGTCAGGGGAAAGGCTGATTTCAGAGGTGATTGAAAAATATTTGTATGACTGATTCCAGGGAATTGAAGCAAAGGGGCTCTTTTGTCCAGAAATGATATGAGGCTGGGCCTAAGTGATAGGAGATCATAGATTTACTTCCAGGGCAAGAGGGTGCTCTCCCACTTCCTTCCTGGGATCCTGAGAACTTTTAAGCAAAAGATGTGACTCCTAGGCTGGGGATGTAGCTCAGTAGGACCGCTCCTGCCTCACAAGCTCAAGGTCCTGAGTTCGATCCCCGTACCAAAAAAAAAGATGTGACTCCCGAAGGAAGGAGGCAGGACTGGGTAGGAAGAGATGGGTACTGTGTGTATTCAGAGGACTGTTGTCAAATGCCCGCTGTGTTCAAGCTCAGGTGAAGGTGGAGGATGCTGACTTGTTCACTAGCCTGGTAGAGGACACAGGTACTTATGATGCAGATGTTCAAAGATCGATGGCCCAGGCTAAGTGCAGGGTCTTGGAACTCACAGAAGGCAGAAAGAAGCTGCTTCCAGAACCTGGGGAAGAGCCTCCAGGCAGAGCTGAATCCCTCTTGCTAGTCTTTTTGCCACCATTTTAAAAGGTGGCAGTGACTGGCCGAATATGCTGTCCCGGATACCAAAGGGTTGGAGCTGAACCCTTCGGTGCCTGCCTCTCTTGAACTGTCCTACTGGTCTGTAAGGATTCCTGTCCTAGGCACAGGACAAGAGCCAGGCCCAGCTGGCTCAGTTTTCCCACCTGAGCCTGTGTATTTCTGTCTCCCCATCTGCCCTTCTATTTTCAGGGGAAGCTGAGAAATAAGACATTTTAGGACGGGAATAGGTTGTTTCATCTGAGGCTAGTATGTTATGGGGCAGCTGGGGAGCAGCATGGTTACTAGCATGGGGTGAATAGTGTCCTGTTTGATTCCTTGGAAGTTCCCACCTTGGGAAAGAGGAGTGAGACAGGAAGGGTAGGTTCCAGGAGGAAGCTTGTCAGCCAGTAGCAAAGTCAAGAGGAAATTGGGGGTGGGGGGAGTAAAGCTTTCCTGACCCTAACCCTAGCCCATGTGTCTGTGGGGTGCTGGGGGCCAGGAGGGTATAGGCAAGTATTTCTGGGACAAGACAGATTCGTGGCATAAGGGTTCCTCTATTTGATTTTTTGTAAAGACCTGGCTTTTACCAGTTGTGAACCTGTAGTGTAGCCTTTTTTTTTTTTCAGTACTGGGGATTGAACCCAGGGCCTTTGCACTGAGCTATGTCCCCAACACTTTTTATTTTGAGATGGAGTCTCACTAACTCACTAAATTGCCTAAGCTGCACTCAAACTTTTCCATCCTCCTGCCTCAGCCTCCCAGAGTGCTGGGATTACAGGTATAGCTTTGAGAATAAGCTGTCTCATTAGATTCACAGGTAGTATTTCCTTATTTGGAATAACGGCCTGTTCAGAACCAGGACCTGGCCCAGGGAGGTGAATGTCTCCGTGGTTCTTGATGTTTAGTTCCACATTTTCATCTTCACTCCAATTTCTGGCTGGCCCACCTTGCACCAAAAACCTCTGCAATGGAGTTGAATATTTACAATTCCATAGCATGTTATCTATAAATTATCTCTGGGAGGGGCCATTAATCCTTTCTTCCCAGCTCTTGTGAATACAGTTAGTATGTTATTGACGTACGACTACGAAAAATTCCCCTACAGAAACTGAATGACTGTAGAGGCTAGGTGCTTTTGGGTTAAAAGGGAAAAGAAATTAATGTTTTACAATGACAGTGTTTACAGAAACAGTAAATTTACTTAAGAACTTTACATTTAAGGGTTAATGGAGATGGTTGTTGAGGATAAGCAAGCTTAATTGAAAGATGAGGTAGCTGAGATGGCTTTTGATACCTAAAATATGTATTCTCAAAGGATGGGAAGATTTGAAAATTGATCATTATCATGTCAATTGCACAAGTTTCATTTCTGCTGAGTTAGTAAGCATTTTCCCACTTCTCAATTACTATGAAGAAACAATTCCTCTTGAATGAGATTTGGAGGTTTTGTTTACTTATTGAAAATTAAGTAGCTAGGAAGGGCGAAAACCAGAAAGGAGGTAAACTACAGAACACCTCACCCTGAAAAAAGGACGGGAACCGGTGGGGAAGATAGATAATGCCGTTCCCCTGCCAGCCACTAGTGGTCGCTATCAGCCCAGGAAAGCCTGGTTGCTTTCTGGAGCCTTTTTCCTGGTGAGGCGGAAAAGACAGGGCTAAAACTAGGTACAGTATTTGATCATACGGCGTGACATACAAGTGGAGGATCTGTGTTTCATGGAACTTTGGCCCTTATAACTTGCTTTTTAAAGAATTTAAATTTTAGTTGGAAAGCTCACAGATTTGGTCTTTATGTACTTATTTGCAGTAGCTGGATATCAAATCCCGGGCCTCACACATGCACCCCTACCCTCTCTTCAATTTCTCTTAACCTGCTATGTCCTTTACATCTACTTCACACAGGGAAAATCCAACAGGTGTGGACAGTTGAGGTTCGGTTTTCCTGGATGCAGATCCACAGTATTTGGTGGGCGGCAGTGAGTAGATGGGAGTGAGTAATAAGGCATCTTCCTGGTGTTAATAAAAGATATCTTCTCTTTCAGCTACAAGGTCTTAAAGTCTTCCATTAAACATTAATTCCTTTGGGTTTTGCCCTGCTCTGGCCTGGTTCTTGCTTTTAAAATGTTAATGCCTCATTGGAGAATTTTTGCATGAAGTCCTTAACTCCTTAGCTGGAGAATTAGTTTATTTTATCCTTGACTTTAGCATCTGACCCAGACAAAGAACTCTGGATTCTGAAGAGGCAAGTTGGCATTGAAAGTGGGGAAATGAAGGGCAAAATTGAGAGAACATGGGAGGGATAAATGTTGATGAATACAAATTTTCAGCTATCTTTTTTTCTGACTCAAGGTTATGCCTTCCACAGGTGCTTGCTTGTTAAGTGCTTGTTGAAAGGCAAATGATTGAATGAAGGAACACGTGGCTGAGCAGCCATGGATCACCAGGACAGAGGAAGTACTGAATGGATGGTGCACTTGGTTTTGACTTGCTCACATGTCCTTTCGCTCCTGTGCTAGCCACAAGGCCTCAAGGAATATGTGAATCTAGTTATGATAGATGAAAGGGAAAGAACTGAAAATTCAGTGACAGTTACCTCCTATTGCATGGTTAGAAATAGGTATGACAAATGGGCTTTATCTCTGGTCAACTGATAGAAGGATTCTCAAGCCCGAAGGAAGTCTCGTGACCATTTAGGACTGTCTGTCCTAGTTCAGGATGGAGGAAGCAGTACCATGCATGTTGGAGCCTGGCCTCACAGGACCAATTGATTTTTCCCCTTCTCTTTCTGTCTCTAGGGACCCATCTGGGACCTGGCCTGGGACCCAGGATGGCCACCCCCGAGACCTTGCTGATGTGTCTTGGACTCCTTCTCTTCCTGTTTTCAGGGGCCCGGGCCCAGACACATGTCCCACCTGGCTGCAGCTCAGACCTCAACCCCCTCTACTACAACCTGTGTGACCGCTCCGGGGCTTGGGGCATTGTCTTGGAGGCAGTGGCTGGGGCAGGTATCGTCACCACCTTCGTGCTCACCATCATCCTGGTGGCCAGTCTCCCCTTTGTTCAGGACACCAAGAAGCGGAGCCTGCTGGGGACCCAGGTGTTCTTCCTACTAGGAACCCTGGGGCTCTTCTGCCTTGTGTTTGCCTGTGTGGTGAAGCCCGACTTTTCCACCTGTGCCTCGAGGCGGTTCCTCTTTGGGGTCCTGTTTGCCATCTGCTTCTCCTGCCTGGTGGCTCATGTCTTTGCCCTCAACTTCCTGGCCCGGAAGAACCATGGGCCCCGGGGCTGGGTGATCTTCACCATGGCTCTGCTACTGACCCTGGTGGAGGTCATCATCAACACCGAGTGGCTGATCATCACCCTGGTGCGGGGAGGTGGTGAGGTTGGCTCTCTGGGCAACGGCAGTGCTGGCGGGGCTGTGGCCTCCCCCTGCGCCATCGCCAACATGGACTTTGTCATGGCGCTCATCTACGTGATGTTGCTGTTGCTGGGGGCCTTCATGGGGGCCTGGCCCGCCCTATGTGGCCGCTTTAAGCGGTGGCATAAGCACGGTGTCTTTGTGCTGCTCACCACAGTCACCTCAATTGCTATCTGGGTGGTGTGGATCGTCATGTACACCTATGGCAACAAGCAACACAACAGCCCCACCTGGGATGATCCCACGCTGGCCATCGCCCTTGCTGCCGATGCCTGGGCTTTTGTCCTCTTCTACATCATCCCCGAGGTCTCCCAGGTGACCAAGGCCAGCCCGGAGCAGAGCTACCAGGGAGACATGTACCCCTCTCGTGGCGTGGGTTATGAGACCATCCTGAAAGAGCAGACGGGCCAGAGCATGTTTGTGGAGAACAAGGCCTTTTCCATGGATGAGCCAGCCTCAGGTGGGTTTTGAGATGCTCTTGGGTCTTCTTTCTTTATGCTACATACTTACTGCACAGCAGGGGGCTTGTCACTGGGACAGTATGGACAGCTCTTGAAATTTTCTGACTTAAAGTCCCTAACTCAAGGACTACTGATGTAGCTCAGTGGTAGAGTGCTTGCCTAGCATGTGCAAGACCCTGCAGCAAGTAAGCTGTAATGCCCTCATTAATCCAGTCAGCCAGGAGTGGTGGCACACGCCTGTGATCCCAACACTCAGGAGCCTGACGTAGGATTGCTGCAAGTTGGAGGCCGTCCAGGGCTACATAGTGAGTTCAAGGTTGGCCTGAACTACTTAGTGAGACCCTGTCACAATAAACAGACGGTAATAACCTAATCAGCTTCCAGAGGGTTTTGTTGGCCATTTCAGATCTAAACCGTAACAGCTCTCATGGAGCCACAGAGGACCATTAGCATTTATTGAGCACCTGCTATGTGCCAGGCCCCATGCTAAGCTCCTGTTGTGTGTATCTTATGTGTTTCTTAGCCTGGCTTCAGCCCCTCCTTACATTGCCTGGGAGACCGGAAGCACGGTGGTCTCAAAGCTCTGCCCCAACCCCAGACTGTGGGTGCCAGTTAACGTGCTTGAGGTCTGATCCTTTAGCTCTTTGGTTACCTTGCGCTCCTGACTCCGGGACCCCTGCTGGGAAGTCAGGCAGTAGAAGTTCTGAATCAGAGAAATCCCGGTGTGCTCACACTGTGAGATCCCCATCATCCGAGCTTTAAGAAAAAAAGTGACCCTTTGTCCTGCTGGGCACTTGATCTGTGATCCACCCTCGGAGCTGATTGCTGCCCCCATCCTGGGGTTGTCTCTGGCACTCACAGAGTGGGTCACCGAGTGTGCAGGGGCAGTGGAGGAAGGCAACAGGAGAGAGGTGGCTAGGAACAAGTGCTGGGGGGCTTCAAGCTCTACTCCCCACCATCCTCTTTCCTGAGGCCTGTATCTCCAGCCAGCGAGTTTTCAGCTTTTGTCTTCCCATAGCAAATACTTCTGGGCTTGAGTTTTGGTTCCTTTTTTCTCTCTTTCTCTAACTGGAAAGATCAATAGAGTGAGCCCAGCACTTAGAAGCCCTCTCTAGGCTCTGATCCCTCAGCCCTACAGGAGAGGACAGCACTGTGTTGCCACCACCCTCAAAGGTCTGTTCCTGTGCTGATCAGCAGCTTTCCTCCAGCACCCTGGGGTGCCCAGCAGGGTGGAACAGATGGGGAACCAACACCCACAGGCACAGAGAAGTTTTCCCGGAGCTGCAGATGGTTCTAGAACCTTGCCTAGCGGCCTGGGAAGAGATGGCCACAGTCTCCTGGCCAGGTCCTGGGCTGGCTTGGCAGCTGGCACTGCCCTGTGAGAACATAGAGGTTTTTGGACTAAGGGTGTCAGCTGTGTTTCCCCCAGCACTGGCAGCTGACCCTCGGTGGTAGAGGCTGGAGCCAGAGGCTGGCCATCCTGGAAGGCAGCCAAAGGCCCATGTGTAGGCCCTGTTGGCCTCTGGCCCTGAGGGCGGATGGGGATGTGAAGGTTGCTGACTTGGCGTTTATCTGAGCTGTTGGGAGCAGGGGATGGAGTGTCACACACTGCAGGGAACCAAGCAGGATTGAGCTCTTCCGTGTATCTGTACAAAAGGGCACCAAGTTTGGGGACCCCCCCCCCCCGCCGCTTCACCCTCAAGTCAGCCACTCCTGGGTGAGCTAGGTGCTCCGCCACAGTAGGTGTGCTCCCCTCTCCCCTCTTCCCTGCTCACAGGACAGCACGCCTGGGTTGTGGGGGATGGGAAAGGGGCCTGAAAATCGAGGACCCCTCAAACCGCACCTGTCTTGCCTCACAGGTAAGAGGCCCGTGTCGCCTTACAGCGGGTACAACGGGCAGCTGCTGACCAGTGTGTACCAGCCCACCGAGATGGCCCTGATGCACAAAGGCCCGGTGAGTGGGCTTCCGGGGCTCTGGGGCCTGCTGGCGCCTGTAGAGTGAGGGTCAGTGGAGGTGAGAGCTGAAGGCTGGCTCCTCATCTGGGGTGTACACCCAGGAACACTACTTTTTGCCACCCTTTTCCTGGACCTGATGTAGCCATTGCCTGTGGCCATACTGCAGTGGGACCTGCCTGGTGTCCCTGGGCATCACACACAGCCTGGGGCCCCAGGCTGGAAGGAACGAAGAAGCAGCTCTTCCTGAGCTGGGGGAGCAGCCGGATGGGAGAGGTGCTGAGAATCTCAGCCAGGTGCTTCTGAAAGTGACGGGGGACCCACTGTAGCAAGTCTGGTAGGCATTGAGTTCTCAGCCACAGCTGTCTCGAGAGGGTGTCTGAATCCCTCCCCCCGCCAGCCAGCAGCAAGCCCCGACCTTACACCTCCCCAGGGCTCTGGAAGCCAGATGCTCCATTAGCCACGGACTGGGGGGTGGGAACAGGAAGGCGGTGGGTGAGATTCCCACTCCCTATATGTTCCTCCTCCCGGCTGGCAGTGGCTGTGGGGAGAGGTCAGTGACCTGCCTTGGCAGAATGCTGGGAAACAGGAAGCCCGGAGGTCAGCAGGGTGCTGTTCTCATCTCCTCCCCACCTCCCACCGTGAGCCCTGGGAGGGGCTGGGGTGGCTGTAGTGTCTGAGACTTCCAGCCCCACTCTTTCCCTCTCCTTAAGCCTGAGCCTGCGGCCAGGCTGTAGCCACCGGCTGTGGTGGGCAGAAGCTGTGCTCCCAGCAGGGGTATGGGCAGCTGCAGAACTCTTCCTGCATAGCCTTCCCGTCACCCCTCTCTCGTCCCAGGTGTGTTTTCAGGATGATCTAGCTGGGATATTTGTCTGCCTGGTCCTCAGATCACCAGAGTTAGTAGCACTTGAGAACGTGCTGAAAATGCAGATTGGCTGGGGCTGGAAGTGGGAGAGCTCATTGGCACCCCTTGGGGTGTCCACAGGATTGTTGACATCACCTGGATAGCTTGGGTCCCACGCCGTGGGAGTAACTCAGGCAGATGTGCAAACAACATCCGCTCCCTTCTCCTGATCCCAGTTAAACATTTACCAGCTTCCCTCCTGCAGTGGGGCCTAGCTCTGAGCGGTGTGGCTTCACCAATAGTGCCACCCAGGTTTGAGACCCCTGACTTAGATGTTCCAGGGCGGCAGGAAGTAGGAGATTGTAAACAGGTGGCCGAATTAGACGAAGCTGGGTTGAATCCTGGAGCCAGAGGTCTGGTGGCAGCTCTCTACTACCGGGATAAAGGGCAGGTGGGGCCAGAAGGTCACCTTCCTTCCAAGTGGGAGCCGGCTGCCCCAGGACCCTTCTTCTTCCCCCAGCCACACTTCAGATCCTTTGGGCTTTTAGTCTCCAAATCCAGCAGGCCGGTCCAGACTTCTAGACCGGGTCTGTGTGGCGAGGTCCAGGGTGTCCCTCACAGAAGGGTGTCTGGTGTCATAGTGACATTCAGGAGACTCTTGGGTAAGGTTCATGGGGGCAGGGAGCCTAGGATCGGTACCAGACCGGCAGTAGGCACTCAGTGCCAGTTAGGCTCCCCCTCCCTTGGCCTTGAAGTTTCCCCAAAGGGCTGGAAGTGGGAGGGGGCTGGGAGGAGCCCTTTTGGAGAAGCCCGCGGCAGCCTCATCCCATGCCTGGAGGCAGGGTTGGGGGCCCCAGGTCAGCCCTCAGATTCCAGGGGTGCAGTGGTCCACCCCAGGCTGCCAGTGGCGCCGGTGGGAGTGAGGGCAGCGGGGACAAGAAGGGGGAGCTGGCAGGCAGAGGCCTGGAGGAAGCAGAGTGTTTGTGCATCCGTCCTGGCGGAGCCTGGCTCCCGGTCCCCCTGGCTGTGAGGCCGCCTGTCCTTCCTTCCAGTCCGAAGGCCCTTACGACGTCATCCTCCCACGGGCTACCGCCAACAGCCAGGTGATGGGCAGTGCCAACTCGACCCTGCGGGCTGAAGACCTGTACACAGTCCAGAGCCACCAGGCGGCCACGCCACACACAGACGGCAAGAACTCTCAGGTCTTTAGAAACCCCTACGTGTGGGACTGAGGCGGCGGCCAAGGCCAGCAGGAGGTGGGCGGCTTTGGGGAGGGCCCTGGGGCCCTGGCCTGGGCTGGGGGCCCCCAAGAAGCCCATGTTCTGCGGCTCCCCTTCCCCTCACTGTCTCGGGGCAGCTTGTGCCTTGGAGCTGCGAGGTCCCCCTGACAGCCAGTGTTCTGGTGGGTGTCCCGGGGGCTCCACCCACTCAGTGTTTGTGGAGTCCAGGAGCCAGCCCAGCTTCACGCCAGGGCCACTCCGTCAGTCTGGCTCCAGCCAAATAGTGTTCTTGGGGGGGTGGCTGGTCCGCGCCTACATTCTCCGGAGATTCCTGCAGCCCCAGGGTCTCAGAGCAGGCGCTTCGGGCCTGGGTCTTGCTCCTCTGTGAGGAACAAGGGTGTCTAATAAACATGTTTCTGCTTTATTAACTCGTGCTCTGGGTTCATGGTTTCTGAAAGGGCCCTCAGCTTCACCTGACCCTCTCTCTTCCTCCACGGGCAGTGGGACCCTCTTTCCCTTCCTTTACATCTGGCTCACAGTATAAGCTGCTGCTGGGGTCTTCTGCAGTTATGGAGCTGTGCGCCATAGCTGGGTACAGTGGCACGCACCCACTATAGTCCCCACACTGTAGGAGGCTGACGCAGGAGGATCTTGAATTGGGGCCCAGCCTGGGGAACTCAGCAATATACCGAGATGCTCACCCCGGCCCCCCCCCGCAAAATCTCTGCAGATGTAGCTCAGTGTAAAGGCTCTGGGTTCTATCACCAGTACTGCAATAGGAAAACAAAGGAGGCCAGGCCTCCCCCAGGGCAGGATTCTTAGTGATCTTCCCTCTCCGCTGAGTGCTGTCAGAGTGAACATCTGGGGCTTCCCTGGTTCCTAGGATACATACAGTCCCACGTCTGGCTTGTTTGACCTGTTTGACTTTCCTTGGGGACCCTGAACCTGGCTCTATGAGGAGACAGCCGGGAAAACAGACCCAGCAGCAGCTTGGTGATGAGGTCAGCTGATCTCAGCTCCACTAGGCGGAAGAGACGTGAAGTCCTTTGGCGGGGCGAGGTGGAGAATTCACAATGCTCCACGCTGTGAGGTCATGCGGTGCAGTGTGTGGGTGGGATGGCTCAGAGCGCCAGGTGTTTACCATGTGGGCTTACTGAAGGAGAAAGGGCCTGGCCAGATCCTGCTTGGGTCAGGAATTGAAATGTCCATTTGCTCTGAACTTTACAGTCAGCAAAAGCCATTCCTCAGCAGCTTAGTTAAATCGTAACTAAGGATATAAAGGAGGACTAGACTTCTGGCCCCTACCCAGAGCTAAAATCCTAGAATGCTACCATATTATGGTTAGAGCCATAGGAGTAGTTGCCTCACCTTACCCCCATGACTTTATAGGTGAGCCAAGTGACCCAGAGAGGCCACACCACCTCCGGGTGACCACACCAAGGCTGGCCAGGTTTTCTTGAAACTGCTGTCTAGCACCCTTTCTCTCTGGCCCTCCCGGGGACTGCTGGTGGGTCCTAGCAGCTCCCTCGGCCACGTGGATGAGACAGCAGCGTCCTGACTCTTGGACATCAGCTCCAGGCTTTTCAAGTTTCTCTCCAACTAGTCAGAAGCTATTTTCTGACACCAGTTGTAGAAAAGAAATGTTTTTGTTGAAAGGAAGAGAAAGGTTGCCGGAAGAAAAATAAAACTTCTCCCAAACTTCTGCTTCTATATTCAGATTGTACCAAGCCCTAGGGACTGGAACTTTTTTTTTTTTTTAAAGTAAAATCCAGTACTTGGCCCCTCAGCAGTAGGGTCCCTCCCCTTTGACTCTTGTTCTTTCTGGTTACTTTAGGCTCAGTCCCCGCAAAATAAAACGAGATGGTAGACGCCCTCTTCCCTGGACCACACAGCATCCTGATGTCCTCATTCCTCTGTACCCAGGCTGGGCAGAGCCCAGCACCTTTCCTGCCCTTGTCATTGGAGCTGGGAGGGACCGGAGGCCACCAACCTGAAGAAGTGGACAGAGTGGGGGCCCTGTGAAGGCCTGAGGCATGTGACTGGGCCCTCTTAGGGCCACCTCTTTTCTGCCCAGCCCAGCCACTGCAGCTATGAGGAGCTGCGTGCAGACTCCCAGCTCCCCTCTAACACTCCTCCCACATCACAGCCCCTGAGTCCCCACGCTGTTCTACAGATGGCCACCCTGCTGTGAACAGCAGGCCTTAGCTGTCCCTCTCGTGACACTGGATCTTTCTGGCCTGGCCATCTTCGTGTCTGGCATCGGCTCATCCTACACTGCACTTGGGTGGATCTCCTGCATGAGGCTTTGAAGCCAAGCCATGGCAGAAGTTATCCCTTGCCCTTCTCCCCAGGGTCTTCTGTCACCACCTGGATTATGGAAGGCCACTGAGCTGGCTGGATAGGTGCTGCTTCTCTTCGTGGCCTGTGGGTCCTGGATCCGAGGCACTGACTCTGACCAAGCCTTCCCACCTTCAGCAAACCAGGACCACTACCAAGCCAGGGCCAGCCCTGGCCGTTCTCTGTTCCCTCCTCCCCCTCACCAGCTGGGACAGGGATTGCCACACTGGTCCCAACCAGGGAAGTTCTCATCATACAGAGATACCTCATGGAGCACCCCACAGAGGAGTTGGCAACCCACAGTGATATTTGGGGCTCAGCACCATTTATGTGCCTCAGTCCTTCTTGCTGGTGTCTGCTCTTAGCCAGCTGGGAAAGTGGCTTTGGGGACAGGTGCAGGTGTAGATGCCCCTCCATTTCTTGGATCTCACATGTTCTGGGGAGCAGGGGGTCCCTGCTGTGGCTACCCCATCTGGTTAGGGCTTGAAGCTTCCTTAGGAGACATAGGGTAGAGATCAGGGCTGCTTTCTTTTTTTTTTTTGGTACCAGGGATCGAATTCAGGACCTTGGGTTTGTGAGGCAGGCGAGAGCACCACTGAGCTAAATCCCGGCCCAGGGCTGCTTTCTTGGGAACCAGTTAAGGGTCCTAGAGTCCAGGCCGCTCCTGTAACTGAAACTCACAGGGTATGGGGAAGCCCCCTAAGTAAGTGGGGTCCCTCTAGCTGGTTCCGATTGGCAGGTGTGTAAGTTCCTACCTCACCGTGGGCAGCAGAGATTCTCAGAGCATCTGTACGTGCTAATGCTATCTTTATCGCTGGACCAGCTTCTTATGTCCTTGGCCTTGGACGCACTTGGGGAGGTCCTGATGGCAGCCAGGGAAGAGGGGACATTCTCAGGACCAGCGTCATGCTGCCACCAAGGAGAGCGATGAGCATAGCTCCAGACTCATGGGACTCGGGTCTCCACAGCATCCTCTTCCCTACCTTTGTCCTGTCCTTGGGTAGCAGACAGAGCTGCTCATCCAAGGGGCCCTCACTGGGTGTACCCTGCGGCTCTGCCCTCAGCCCAGCTTTGGGTACAGAGGTGGAAGGTGAGGACAGCAGCTTTTGGAGTCAGCACCCTGAGGTCAGGCCAGTGCCACCCTCCTGTGTCCAACAGCCTGTCCCTTTGTTACTGGAGTGATTTTCCAGAGCTAAGCTGGGTGAACAGTTCCCACAGAGCAGGGCTGTACCCCTAGGTGTGCCCCCCCCAACATTGTACATGGTTGCTTAGTTCTACCAATAGGGTAACATTTTCTGTGAAGGGAAGGGACACCTCCGAGCATCTCAAGACTGCTTGTGATCTCGGTGAGCAACCTCAGGTTCCCTTACCGTGAGCAAAGGTGTGAGCTTACTGTTCTAGAGTCCCTGGCTGCATCAGGTGGCCAGGGATGAAGCCTGCGGTGGACCTGGGTGTGTTTGTAGCCTGGGTCTTTTGGGGCCTGCAGGTGAGTCAAAGGGGATGGGCTCCTAAAAGGTGTAGGCTGGCCCAGGTTCCAGAGTGTTCTGTGGTCTTGTAATCCCCCAGTCCTGTGCTGAGTGGAGAACATAGATGAATTTTATTTTGGGGGTTTTGTTTTGTTTTGTTTTGAGATAGGGTCCTGCTAAGTAGTTCAGGCTGGCCTTGAACTCACAACAATCCTCCTGTCTCAGCCTCCTGAATGTTGGACCACAGGTGTGTGCTGCCACTTCCAGTGATAGATGTGTTTCAGGAAGAGAGAGGTGCTTTTCTATTACACGCAAGCCTGGAGTGGGAAGAAGCTAGAGCAGGCCATTTCCTGGTGCAAGGTCATCACCGGTGGACCAGCGCCTGGGTAAATGTCACCCCCACCACCTCAGACCCTGTAGTTGGAAGCAGAGGGATTTCATCTTAATAACGGTGCAGAATTAAATGACTGTCCTCCATTTGTGAGAGGCCGCTGCCTTTGACTTCCGGTGTGTTCATGAGGAATTATGGGATGTGAGTGTGCTAGTGCGTATTTTTTTCTCTTTCACCCCAGACCTCTGCCCTTTACAGCAACAAAGGCGGTTTAATTCCGACACACCTTTCTCTTGATTGAGGACCTACTCTAAGGCGGAGAACCAGGCCTCCGAAAGACATTGAGATTCAGCCAGCCAAGCCCAGGGACCAGGAACCCCTGATAGCAGCCCTGCTGCTGCCTGGCCAGGCTGGGGAGCCGCTGGAAAGGCACAGTGGGTCCAGGTCAGGAGGACCTGGCAGGTGCCGCACCCAGCTTTCCCGCCAGCTCCTCACACTGTGGCTCTTCACACTCGGTTACCAGCACCTCCCAGATCACAGACATGAACAAGGAACGGGCAGGTCCTGCGACTGCCCCAGGGGACACAGCTCGAGTGGGGCTGTCTGGCCTTCCATCCATTCTCATCAAGACTAATGCTTTCTCTATCCCCTGGAGGATGGCCCAGGTCAGGCGCAGGTGCCGGTGATCAGATTTTGCATCCTGTCTGCTATCTCCACACTGAGCCCTCCCGGAAGCTGCAGCCCCCGCCCACAGCAACCACATGAATTATTTAGCATCTGCACCAGCCTGGCAGTGCTCTGACCTCATCCTCCTTGGGCCCTGGGTGTGGCTCTGACCTCCTCCTCTCGGAGAAAAGGTTGCCGCTAATGGGCAGAGGTGGAGGTGGTGGGTCCCTTCAGGAAGGCAGGCATTGAGGAGGTGGGGACCAACTCCCCTTGCAGCAGGAGGCAGCACAGTGGAGAGAACATGACACAGTAATCAGGCCAGCTGTGGGTTCAGAGCCTGGCTCCTTACTAGCTCTATGGCCTTGGGCAGCTCCCTTGACCCTCAGTCTCCTCGTCTTGAAAGTGGGAGAACCAACACCTTGCATTCATTCTTGGTGTCCTAGCCCAAGGTAACCCCCATGAAGGTCATGGCCAAGGCAGAGCAACCAGGCACTCTGGTCAGGCTGGCTGCTGGTCTGAGGGCCAGACCTCACCGTTAGCTGCCTCTGGAGGTGCCATATCTCCCTTTTTCTCTGCTGTGCCTTACGGGCCAGGTCCCAAAAGTGAGTGGGGTGGCAAGTTTCACCACTGGAATGGAATGTTAAGGAGAGGAACAGACAATGGGCAGCATCCTGATCAGCAAGGGAGAGAACTGACTCTAAATGTGGTAGGAGCATGGCTTAGGCACACAGGAAGTCCAAGAAGCCAGGCTGAGGAGCTGGGATCAAACTGCACTTGGTACTTCAACAAATGTTCCTTGAGCACCTACCCTGGAGACACTGCAGCAGGTGAGCTCTGGCACCTTTTGCTCAGTCCAAGGGGTCAATGTGGAAGCAGTGCTGGTGGACTGGGTGGGGCATTTCCAGGCTGCACCTCCTTGCCCAGCAGGGCATCCTCAGGCCAGGTCTGCCTCTGTCTAGTTCTGTCTAAGCTGGGAGTTAGGGTCCCCAGAAGTTGGGAGGGAACCCCAGCCTCAGGGGTCAGGAGCAGAACTGGACAAAGGCTGGAGCCACCCCTGGTTATGTGTTGGACAGAGGGGCCGGGTACCAGGGGCGAGGGTGCCAGTCCCTGCGGACCGTGGGTGCGGGCTCCTCTGGCCTGGTCCAGCTCAGCTGCTGGTCGTGGAGAAGGAGCACGCTCCTGTCCTGCGCAAAGGCACAGTGGCTCCCGGCATATCCCAGCGGCAGCGGCCCCCGGAAAGGTTTTATGGGGTGGCCAAACCTGACATTTCAGCTGGATGTGGGGTGGGCAGAAAGCATCGGGCTCCGGAACACACCATCACCACCGCGGTGGACCCTGGCTCCTGAGCCTCCCACCTCAGGCTCCTGGCTTGGGGGGAAGGGAGCAGCCCTGAGTGTCTGGTGCTCAGCTGTCACTCTCCAGCCAGGCTCCAGCCCCGCCCTGGCGTCCTGTCAGCAGATCCCTGGGCCAGATGTTCCTGCTCCGGCGGCGGCCGGGGCTGGGGGCCCAAGGCCCTCATACTCCTCCCACCCCCAGGGCCTCTGTCTCCTGGCCTCGAGGGGTTGCAATTGCTCCTGACCTTTTCCCTGATCCAAGCCCTGTATCTACCACGTTCATCCCTGTATCTCTTAGCCCTGCACAAAGCCAGTGCAGGGCCTGTTCCCAAGAGGAGGAACCCTCTGCAGGCTCATTAAATCAGGGTAGAGGGCGCACAAGGAGCCCGTCCACTGCCTTTGGTTGGGTCTGGGGCAGGGTCCTCAGCCTGGCGCCACTGACATCTTTGGAGGATCGTTGTTTGTGGTGGGGGCTGTGCACTCAATGATGCTGCAGGGGTCCCTGGCTTCTAAGCAGCACTCTCACACTGAGTTGTGACCCCCAAAAATGTCTCTAGGGGTGGCAAGTGTAGCCTTCATACTAAGCCCATGTGGGGTGCTCAGCAGAGCCAGGTGGAGCGGAGCAAGGGTGAGGGCAGGCGCTGCTGGCACTACCCACACCCCACATGCAAAGTAGAAATTTGAGAATAATGCAGTCCCAGACTCCAAGGGGATGGTTCTAATATTTCTCCCTCCCCTATATGTTAATATTTGCCTGCATTTGCAGTACTGAGGTTTGAAATCTGGGCGGTTGTACAGAGATACATCACCAGCCCTTTTTTAGCTTTCTTTTTTTCTTTTTTTTTTGGTACCGGGGATCGAACTTGGGACCTTGCACTTGCGAGGCAGGCAACAGAACCACTGAGCCAAATCCCTGGCCCAAGCTTTCATTTTGAGACAAGGCCTTACTAAATCACTCAGACTGGGCTCGAATGTGTAATCCTGCTTCTCAACCTCCTGAGCTTCTGGGATTACAGTTGTATAAAATGTATTTATTTTGTACTAGGGATTGAGCTCAGGGACTAGTGCATGCCAGGCAAACACTGCCACTGAGCAATATCACCAGCCCTAAATTACATATTTTTTAAAATTCAAGGATTTGTTTTTTAATACGGAAGACAAAAAGGAGCCCCTGAGTGTAGCAGGGGGCTCTCTGTGGCCTGGGCTGCCCTGTGTCCTTGTCCCAGCCTTTACAAAGGCCAGAGAAGCAGGCATTGCTGGTGACGCCTCTCCCCCATCCCTTCCTGCTAGCAGGATCACAGGCTGTCACCCTGCCCAGTGTTTCCAGTTCATTTTCCCACCAGCAGGATTTTGGGGGAGGCTGAGGACAGAGGCCTGGGGACTGGTGTGTGCTCGTGGCAGGAGACCCCACCCCCTTCTCAGCCTTGCTGAACAATTGTAGCTCAGAGATGGGAGCAGATTGGTGTGTTGGCGCCATTTCCCATCCCTCTGTGTGCAGCTCATTATTATGATGCGTGCTGCATCCTGCGGGGCAGACAACAGCACACATGGGAATAACATTTGGCTCATTAATTCGTTCATTTATCAGTTCTTCATCAATATTTATTAAAGGCTGCTCCCTCTGTCATTCTCACCAGCATCAGCCTCCACGCTGACCTCTCTCCTGGCACCCCAGCTGTCTGGCTCACAGTATCCACCTCCTCACATCCAGAACTCTTGTGTCCTCAAGTCACTCCAGCCAGGTGTGGCTTCTACAGCTGCTTTCCCGGATCAGTAAGGTGTTGACACACTCTCAGGTCTGCCCACAATGCATGTGCCTGTGTCAGGAACCAGGGCTCGCCTCTCGGGGACTGTGTTGGTCACCTGGGGGAGGCTTGTCTCAGATTGGAAAGCCGCTGAGAGGGTTGCAGGGGTTGGGATGCAGGAGTCACTCTGCTGGTTGTAAGCAGGGAAGTCAAGAGGGGAGCACGTGGGTCATTGGAAGGCACATTCTCAAGGGACCCAGTGAGGAAGGGCCGGGGTTGCGTAACACAGCGCTGACTGGGGCTTACACAGGGCCATTATCACATCACTTCCAGAGACAGGAAGTCCAAGTCTGGGGTGGGCAGTGCTGGGTCCTTCTGAGAGCCCCGAGGGGAGTCTGCTCCTGGACTCTGTCCCTGCCGTGCACATGGCGCCTTCTGCCTGGGTCTCTTTACATCATTCTCCCGCTATGTGTGTCTCTGGGTGCAGATTTCTTTTTTTTTAAGGTCATAGACATACTGGATTAGGGTCTCCCTGGAAAGACCTTATTTCAACTTGATTATCTCTGCAAAGACCCCACATTCTGAGTGAAGTCCTGGGGGTTAGGGCTTCAACACGTGACTTTGGGGGGAATACAGTTCAACCCTTAACACTGGGGCTGGAGGAGGCTGAAGGGGAGGACCTATGGACAAAGGTGGCTGGAGGGATGGCCCCTGAGCAGAGGCCATACCCCGCTAAGAGCCCGCACAGAAGTGGAATCCGCAGATGTGGACACTGCTCCATTTCAAGTACCCTCATGCATTTCGTCCTTGGCGGTGATGGGGCACTGCCATGGGACTGAGACTCTGGCACCATCATTGGGATGTTTTTCCTCCTCCAGGATTGGATTAACAGGCAAAGATGATCATCTGTTGACCATAAACCAAGAACCTTAGTTCTGTGTGCCCCTTCCCAGGTTCAGGGGTACAGATTTTGGTTGGGGAGGGCCCGGTGGTGAGCAAGCTCACAGCAATCTGTGTTTAGAGTGTGTACTTCCTCCTCAGCTTTCACTTCTCAATAAAAGAACAGAGAAGAAACTGACCCTCGGCATCCACAGTGAAGTGAGAGAGTCCTGACAGGATGTCACAGTGGCCTTAATGTTGCCCCCTGGGAAAGCCATAAAAGCCAGGGTATCTCCCCACCTGTAATTGCTGCCCCCCCCCAGCAGTGAGCAGGGCCAGCCTAGGGCCACTGGGGCAGGTGGTAGAATGGCAGCAGGGGCTGCGGGTGACACCTGAATGTACTCAATGTACGCACTCAGTTCCCTCTTCCAGCTGGAGAGCATGAGGGAGAGGAAGTCCCTCCATGCCATCATCTGTAGTTCACTGTGATCATAAAGGGAATTCACCCTCATAGCAGGAGAAGAGAAGTCACCAACCCTGATTACG